TTGCGGTTTCTGGTACTGTACACGGGTTTCACGGTACGATGAGAGATGCAAGCTCATAGAACATTCTCCTCATTATTGTTGGTAGCTGTGGTCATACTACTACTTGCTGATGTGGTCAGCACCTCCAGTAAAGCTACAACATCTGGAGCCTCTCGCCTAGGTGGAACAGCACCTGCCACCTGCTGCTGGACTCCATCCCCAAAATGACGCTGAGATTAGCTGTGAGCCACCTGGTGGAGTGTCAGTAGGGTTTGGACGTTGGAACCTTAATCTGTGTTATGTTGCTCAGGCGGAGATTTGTTAGTGCAGTCGTACCCAAGCACGACCGATCCGACAATGGCGATTTTGGGAGTTGGGCGATCTTTCTTGACGACTAACCTACATTGCAGCATGATGCTGCAGCTGGTTTCCATGCCGAAAGCTCGAGGATGCTAGGAGCAAGCCGCAAGCCCGAGGCAAAGCCCTCCGAGCCATACTCTGAGAAAGGGGTCGGAGGAACTGGTAATCCTATCCCCCTTTTCGGTCCCCAGAAATACCGAAAGCCCCACTCCATCTACTGACGTCCCTAATAAGCATAGTAGACAACCTGCCCACCGTGTACTTCAGGCCAACACGGGGCCAGCCTACCAGTCGGCGTGGCTGCGTATGCTCTGGATCAGCTCTTGGAGGCTCCAGTGACTGCAGTGGGCTGAGGTTCCAGACTTTCGTGTTCTGGGCTTGGAAGTGCGATGAAGCCTTCTCCGCGGGGCCCTGCAGTAGCAAACTCCATTAGGGTTCAGGGACTCGACTGCTAATGTCCCTTGAGAGGAGTTGTTGTCATCAGAAAACTGCCTTGCATGTGATGGGGAAGTGACCCGCTTGCTCAAGGTCCCTTTCAACCTATGTACGTTCACTTCGGAAGTTTCACAACAAGCTCTGCAGCCTGATCCACTCGAAACACGAAAACCAACCCATAGTCCCAATCTCTTGCAAGCCTGGCAGCCTCACTGTAAAGCCTGCAAGCCCGGCCATTCCCCAAAGACGCCAAGTCGCAACCCTGAGGCTCCCGGATGGCGCTTTGAGGGGCTGCTGCCTTTGCGGAGGGTCGGCAAGGCCGCGGAGTGAGGAGAATAAGAGTTGTTAATATTTGTCCTCCACTACTCCGCTAGCAGTATCACAACTAAGAGTTTGCTTATTACCGGATAGCCAGGCATGTATTCACTTTCTTTGAACTTTGAGCGACCGGAAATCCTCAAGCCTAAGCCCCTAGAGTCCACAGCAAAAGCCCCGAACGAACATCTAAAGTTTAAGTCCACCAGGCCATAAGACTAAACCCCAACAGCCCTAACAGAACCCCAAAGAAAAGCCCAACCCTTAAAGCCCCAAAAAGCCCCCAGCCTTAGCCCTAAGCTTTTTTGTTCAGGTTCCGATCGATTCGACAGATGCCTCTGCAGCCCTCGAAGTTCGCTTACGACTGCATCAGCTGGAGAGCCCACCTGTCGGGGATCCTAGAAACTGTGCTGTACTAGTACCGTCTGGCACTCTAGTGTAGTGTATGTACTGCAGTGCAGTGTATTGTAGCAAAGCAGACTGCATTGTAGTGCAGCGTATTTTATTGTGCTGTATGGTGCAGTATTTTATGTAATGTATGCATTTATGTACTGTATGTAGTGTATGTAATGTATGTAGTGTATGTAGTGTCTACGGTCTGTAATGTAAGTAATGTATGCATTGCATGTACTGCATGTGATGTATGAGGATTAATGTAATGTATGTCGTGCATGCCATGCCATGTCATGTATGCCATGTATGCCATGTTTGTGTTTAATCCAGGATACAGCCTGCAGCATGTTGGCACCCACGACTACGCTGAGGCTCACGGCGCTGCCAATGCCCCTGCGACGAAACTGTCGCGCTCAGGGTCGCAGTGGTTCGATGCTGTTGGAGGCGAACAAGGGCGAACATACAAGCATGCTTTTCTACTGCTACTACTGCTAATACTGCTGCTGCTGCTATTACTACTATTACTACTACTACTACTACTACTACTACTACTACTACTACTACTACTACTACTACTACTACTACTGCTGCTCCTGCTGCTGCTGCTGCTCCTGCTCCTACTGCTGCTCCTACTACTACTACTACTACTACTACTACTACTACTACTACTACTACTACTACTACTACTACTACTACTACTACTACTTGCTACTATTACAACAACTACAACGACGACTACTACTCAAATGGATGCGGGGAAGACATGGGAAGACAAACCGACTAATCTTAGCAACGCCGACCAGGATGCTTCCAATGCTGGTTGGCGGGAATATGGATGATCCGTAGCTAATAATACTAGTGCTACTAGTCAAATTCATTGCCAGACCGGCTGCGGCTCAGCCTCACGCACAGCTACTCCGCCGCAAAGAGGAAATTCGGCAGGGTCAGATCAATCCACATAGTATAGGCGATTCCAAGGGTTGAGCCAGGGAAAGTCGGAGCCCTTGACATGCGCGCTGCCGTACTTTGTGGAGGCCTGTGTATTTTGTATCAGGCAGGCTGCCAGAGGCTCGCCAAATTCTGATATATGTTGATAGTTGGGTGCAAGTGTTTGGCTCAATGGTCTTTGGCTGCTCCACTTGGTTTATTTGCTGGCAGACCGGGCAAAGCGCTGGGCACCTGCCGTCAAGTGGGCGGCACACCTGCGAGTCGATGGTAGTAATTATCAAATCATATTCAAGTTGTTGTTTTACACACCGTGAGTCCAAATCACCAATCACAAATCACCCAGCACCAGCAAACACTGAAGCTTTCACCTGAGATCTCAACCCGAAGCCCGAGATCAACGAAACGAGGCGATCAACAGCAGACCTCTAAGAAGCACCTAAATGCTGAATTCCAAAACCCAAAACCCCTAAGCCCAACGGCCCTAAACCCTCAACCCTAAAACCCTAAGCCCTGAAGCTTTGAGCCCTAAAGCCGTACCCCTAAAGCACAGGTTTTAGCCGGATGGACGCGAGCATCCCGGACGAAGCCCCCTTGAGCCTCGAGCCACCAAAAAGTCGCCAAGCTGAGTCGCTTTAGCGTAGGGTTTGTAGGGGTTCAGGGTTTAAGGTTTGGGGTTTGTAGGGGTTTAGGGTTTAAGGTTCAGGGTTTGGGTTTAGAGGGTTTAGGGCTGATGGCTCCACTATTTGACTAGACCTGGGTTTAGGGGATTAGGGTATTTGGGTTTGTAGGATTTAGGGGCAGCAGAAAGCAAATTCCGTCCCAGGTACCAGCTCCCCTCATTTCTCCGCGGCTCCGCCCCCCCGCCGGCCGCCGGATCTGGAGCACCGGAATTTCAGGTCGAGGCGCTTCGTCCCAGAGGCGGGTTGGGCAGCAATCGTAATCACAGCGATGCTCGCAACTAGCAAACACTATAAGTAGCTGCTATAGGATGGCCAGAGCAAGTCGAGGGCGAGGGGAGAGGAGGAACTCCGATGTAGTTTGAGAAACCGACTACAGCGCAATATATGCTGCAGATCGGCTATTTGGGAGCACGAGTCGGCATTCTCCTGTGATTTGTTTTTGGTGGCTGTGCAGTTTCTTGTGGTGATTTGTCACTATGGTACAATCCCCTCGTCGTGTCTTCTACTTCTCCTGCTCTTGCAGCTACTGGCATCTAGTCGCTTCTGTGGTGGTTGCTACTGCTCGGCTGCTATGTGCTGTTTACGAGCACGGTGCCAGGCCCAGATCCAACGCCTTGGCAGCGACGAAATGGAGTTTCATGAGGCCCTAGAGCCCGTTGACTCCAGCGAAACGTTGGGCCAGAGAGGCGGTGTTTGCCTGTGAAAAGCGGAGAGGGCTGTGAGGTATCTTACATGGATCATCGGCTAGAAATCTTAACAGCTATTGCTGTCGTTGCAGACTGAATGTCGTATGTCATGGTCAAGCCCACGGCGTAAATCACAGCAATTGTGAATGATATCGTACATGGCTACATATCTCAGCATCACGACTGATCGCAATTGCTGTGTTACTTCCCTCTTGTAACAAATGTTATTGTCTTGATGATGGTGCTAACGGTGATCCCAGTTTGTCTTCCAGTTGTGCTTCACCATAAGCAGTGTGCGCGAAGCTCCAGCTCATTCTCAGCCTGCTCTGACGCTGATTTCATCCTGCGCAGCAGCAGAAAATATGACTTAATGGATCATTCTGATCCTGTAATCCGTTTTTGCGGCCGTCGTCTGTTCCCGAGCAAGCTGACTCCAGTGGCCGTTTTCTAGTAGAGTTCAACGATACTGATCATGGATTCTGATAGATGATGGCCTTTAGCACCATGTGCGCTGCGATGATGCCCGCTTGTGCAAAATCTAATTATGCTGTTATCATGCCCACATGGCTCGTTATTAGGAGTGCCATGACTCGCGACTCATGACCGTTGCTACATATGTAGCCTCAAGACTGAGCTTTGTTTGGCTCATGTATGGTTCATCGGCTCTCGTGTCCGTTCACCTCGATGTCTGTGCACTAGAGGTGACTTCCACAGAAAAGCCGCATAAGGGTTTGGATTCAGCTACCTGCAGTTCAACCTCCTGCATGGCTGCAGATTCAGCATAGTCTTTCTGATAGCACTTGACACCAACAACGGCCTTCGTCGCAGCATCCCCCCACAGTAACGGAAGCACCACAGGTCTACTAGCTAGTGCTACCGAGCTTTGCCAACAGTTCCTTGATGTTACTTACAGTGACTTACAACCGTGTAGACATAGCTGTGACATCAAAGATCGCAGTAGCCATAGTCTACAGCCTGTGGCAGCCGCAGAAGTCACCGAGACCTGGCACCCTCGAGGTTTAAGAAGGTACTGTATGGCTGTGGCAACAAGAGTCACAGGAGCCCCAGTCATACACCAGAGCGTCGGCGCATGCGTCTGGCATTGCAAGATACCCGCTAATCACACCCAGAAAACCGCGCTGTGGCTCCAAAAGAGTGAATAGAGCACCTTTGATGCTGGAGAAGCATCAGAAAGATTGACGCCATGGATGGAGGAGAATGCTTCAAGGCGCTCCTGCGATCGGTGGAGGCTTGCAGTGAACATTTTTTTTGCTGAGGGTTCCTGCTTCCTGTGGTTTTTTTGGGGTTCTTGTATCGTTCCGGGCGAGCCTACCCTGAGAAGATAGCTCATGATTTGTGTAAGGAATCTGCTTGCTGGCATCATCGGAGTCGAAGACCCATGGCGATGCATTTTAAATTAATCCATCAGCAGTGCGCAAGCAGTGTTAACCTTCCGGTGTTTGTACAACTCTACCATAATCCAAGGTAACCTGGGGGCTCGGGTATTCAGCCCGTAAGGACACCCCATCAGCCCGGAAAATTGAAAACATCTCTTTCGAGAGGAGCAGTACGAGAGCGACCTTCACGAAGTCAGTCGTGAGCTCGGTGTCCATGCAATGGCATGATCGCAGGGTTTTGAACTGCATGAGCTTGCCTGATATGGAAATTTCAGTGAATCGGTACCCGTGTATAGAACCCTACTGCACATTTTCCTCAATAGTTGCATCCTGACCGTAAGCATCCCAAAGCAAGATCCACTGCAGAAGCCCACATGTCCCAATTTTGCTGACCTCGAGACTTAATTCTGTCGAGGATGTGCTCGGCGGTCGAAGATGTGGATGAATCATGCAAGCCGCCGCAGCTTCGGCTTCGGACTCAGATATGCAATAGGTTCTGGATCAACTGACTGATCGCAATCGACCCTAAACCCCAAATCCCAAAGCCCCTATCCCCTAAATCCTTAAACCCAGGTGTTGAGAGCCGAGTTGAAGATTCTCCCAGAATCGCGGTGCAGGAGGTGGAGGAAGAGCAGGCACCGACAAATAAAGAGTCTCCAGTCTCGGTGGTTTTGGTCCTATAGAGAGATACAATCACAATACCAGTCTGCTGTACTCTGACAATACTTGTCATAATACTACGAAGAGATGCTAGAGTTCTGACCCGCGCCAGGCAAAAATCTCGCTGCCACACGAGACTGCGATGCGGAATCGCCAATCAGAGCCGCGGCTGCAGATGCCGGAGATGCCGCGCTCCGAAGCGCCGCGCCCCAGCGGTCGGATGTCGGAGCCCATCCGGCTGAAGCCGAGAAGGGCGAGCTTCGCGGCTTGGGCAGCAGCTGGACACCCATCCCCCCTACTTGGACCTGCAATGGGCACGGCCTGTGGTAACAAGCTGACATTGGTTGACAAGGCTGCGCAGCCTCGCTCCTCACGTCGAACGTCTTTTGCAGATTCCAGAAACGAGAGGCCACTTGGCTGTCGGAGCATGTGCGGTTGCGGCAACTTCTGAGAATGTCAGTACTACGAAAAACTCACACACGAGAATTGTATCGTGACAGGGCATTGAGGGGTAGCCCTCGAAAACATGCGAAGCTGTACCTCGGCACTGCCGTCTAGTGGCTACCTAGTGGTGGTGAAGGCTTCGGGAGAACTTGACCCAGATGCAGTGGCTGCCCATTGATACCTTGCTCAAACCCAGCTTCTGCACGAGGTCGGATCCCGAATCGGACGAACCTCAGGCACTTCCACCCAGTCGTCGTTCACATGTCCCTCGACGTGAACCAAGACTTCAGTCGGCTAAGCTTCTTGAAAGTACTTGAGGGCAAGGATGCACTGAGATCAGAAACAGCCCTCACACAAGGAATTTGTTCAAGAGCTGCAGCGTTGGAATATCATGTCGACAGGGAAGGAACGTGAAATCGGGCGTGCTGTAGGTCAGTAGCAGCGTAGTCACCTTTAACATGCATTGGAAGGTCTGTGTTACCTGTCTCTGACATCCCATACGGTCCTCTGATTCCCCAGACACCAGAGACGACACTCGTTGATTGCATTTCGTGTCCGAGCATTCTCTGAGGACAGCCAGAGGTCTTCACTCCGATCCTCAAGATCCACCGAAGACGGCGTCAAAGAGACCGAAGCCCGAAATGGATTCAATGCAGGCATGGGGATCGAGATGCGAACCGACGCCTCTTTCGTACGTCATGCGAGCTATGCGCTATACTGTAGTACTACCCTTGCAGGGATCCAGGTAAGAAGAAGCTTTCGCAGGTTGGGTGATGTGTAGAGGGCAGCCGGGAGAGCCTCCAGCCCTCAACTTCGTTGTTCCAAGTTCGGTTGTTCAAAGACGCTGCAGGCAGAGGACGCCGGACCCTGTTCTTCGACAAGTCGCCCGAGGCATGCACCTTTTCTAGTGACCCTTCCTTTTCTAGTGACCCGGCCGCCATGTTGTACTGGTACCTGCATTTCGTACGAAACAGGATCTGCTCTGCTTACAGAGGGTCGATCTTTGGGGCAAGTAGGGACCTCTAGGCCACGCAGGGTCTGAGAGAGCAGGAAATGGAGGCGATGTTCCAAGAGGCGCTGAACGAGAGCGAGGACGTTTTTTGGTGCGATAGGGCGATAGAGCAGTCCTTGACCGAACCTTCCCCCACTGAACGATTGAGATGTCTCACTGGAGGAGCAGCCGCGTTTAGATATTTGAGCTCCTATTAAGGTATTTCTGGGGAGTGGTACCTGTGTGGACAAAGCTGGAGTATGTGGTCCATCATGATGCTTCGCACGATCATGGTAGATGATGCATATGACGATTGATGAATCCTTCCCACAGGAGTTCCGTAAGAGTTGATGACAAGCATGCGAAGCGCGGGCTGTTGATGATTCCGCAACTCAACCTTTTCTGTGGCAGAGCCCTGCGTCTTGACCCGAGCACCCTGAAGGAGGAGGACGAGTCTCACACCGCAGTCAGCATCGAAGGCCTCGGATGTTGTTGCAATGGCGGTGGTAGTGGCGGTGGTTGCTTTGTTCTCGTTCTTTTTGTGGTTGCGACACTTTCTGCAGGTGGCCAGCTGTCATGCCGCAGCTGGGCCGAGAGAGTCCGCAACAGAACGAAGCAGATTCTTGAGACGGACCCCTTGCTGCTTCAAGGGATTCTAGGGGGCTTCGGGCTCCTGAGTTTTAGGGCTTTAACGGGTTAAGGGTTTCGGCATTCGGGCTTGGCTACTAACAGTGAGCTGCCAGCTTAGAGAATCTCAGTCTGTGAGGCTGCGGCCACCCTGATTCACGACGGAACTTGCCAGTGTCCGAAAACATGCATTTTGAGCTTCCCCCTTCCCATGGCGCTGCTTGTCACGCGGATCGGTTACGAGAGTGCAGGACATGCGGAAGCCTTAAGTAGCATCTCGAGAGCTGATGCAGTCACCTGCCCTAAGCCAGCTCGCCAGGACTTCTTTGAGATGTTCGTATCCGGCCTTATCCTTTGCAACGTGTTGGTCATGTGCTGTGCCGCGTGACCCGGCTCCCATGCAAGAGCTCCTTTGCAACCTCATGAGGGGCGTCGGGTCGGGATGCTCCACCTCCACAGGCAGAAAAAAGACGGCTTGACAACAGAGGGCCGGCTACCCGATCAACTTGATAAAACGCGCTGAAATCCATCTTGGCCCTGGCAGAACCCTGTATGAAGTATTACTAGACTTCTCTAAACCCCGGAACCCAAACCCTGAACCCTTCTAAACCACGAGCACAGGCAGTACCGGGGCTTGGACCTTGGCTATACCATCCTCTACCCGAGGATGACCAGTAAAGCGGAGGACCTTTGGCCAGGCGAAGTATTCATGTCCTGATTAGTATGCATATTGACGTCATGGCTGTTGTTGATTTTGCAATGCTGTTATTGTCTTTGTGATTATTGTTGCTTTTTTTGCTGGTGGCGTTGTTATTGTTGTTGTCATTGTAGTTATTATCACTGTTGTTGTTGTTGTTGTTGTTGCTGCAGTTGCTGTGGCCGTGGCGCTGGCTATGGCTGTTAGTGTTGGTGTTGTGGTTGTGGTTTCAATAAGGGATAATAAGGGTATATAGCTCTGCGGGATTTGTGGGGGTGTGTCACCGTCATAGGATTTCACAGCGGCTTCTGTAGGGTTGTGGAAGCGAAACTGGAGGATGTTGTGGGCTTTTATGAGAGTATGTGTTTAAGCTTCGAGTGTTGTCATACCGTTCATGTTTGCAGGTTTTTTTCTGTGTCAGGGGTTCTACCAGGTAGGCTTCCTTGGGGGTAAGGGTTTAAGGGTTTGGGGTTTTGGGGTATGGCGCGGGCTTAACGATTTCAGGGTTCAGGGTTCGAAGGACAGCATTGCAATGCTAATTGCGAAATGTTGAGTACCGATAAGGAGTTTTATGCCAACTCTACTTGGAGTTTGGGACGTGTGAGTCGTCAGGAATCTCATGCTAGTCTTCGCATGATCTCGCGAGCCACGTAGCCGCACATGATTTCTGGCGATGTACAGACAGAAAAGATGAACATCATGCTACATAGCGCACACGTACATGCATGCGTACGAATGTACATCGGCAGACAGGCAGGGCAGGTAGGCATGGGGAACAGGTCGGCAGGTAGGTAGGTAGGCAGGCAGCTAGGTAGGTGTGCCTAAACAAATAAGTAAACGCAGATTCATAAGCAAATGAATAAGCATGACTTTGAATACAAACATACATATATGTGTGGGTATACATACACAGACAAGTGAACACGAACCAGCACACACAACACACACAACACACACACACACACACACACCCACACACCCACACACCCACACACCCACAGACGCACAGACGCACAGACGCACAGACACACAGACACACAGATGCACACACACACACACACACACACACACAGAGACAGAGACACACCAGCACCTGCACACAAACACCTCCACACGCGCACTGTCTCTGTCAATCCACAGCGGCCCACGAGGTTGTTTGGAATACCTTCCTACCTGCCTGCCTGCCCGTCTCCCTCCCTCCCCACCCACACACCCACCCACTGACATAGACAAAGACATATACACACCTGCATGCACCTCATGTTGCGAATCATACAGGCGTTCTGTGCCTATGTCTGCATATTTGCAAGTGCATATACATGCAGTATTTTTATTACCCGCGCTGAGTGTTTCGATTTCACAGCGATAGAGCGAATCATCTCATTCAAGCCCTGTGGCCTAACGCCGGCACTAGTGAATGGCAGCTTCGTCCAGAGGGTTCTACGCTGCTTGCAAACAGGCGGCCAAGAAGCCCTGACGCACATCGACAAAGCCTTCACCATCGTGTTCTTCCTTGAGCTGTTTTTGCGGCTGTGCCTTTGGCGCGATCAGCTTTCGGACGCAGGCAGATAAAGTGTATTGCTGATCATCTATGCCACCTGTTCTTGGGGCAACCGAATGTCTGAGAACGACTATGCTGCGAGCTTTAGTTCTCATTGTGTGGTTGCACATGGTTCCAGACACGCTGGTGCGTCACAGTCGGGGAGTCAGGGGCGAACTACAAGTAGCATGTTTGCTCGGGGCCCGACGAAGCAGGATGTCTCTAGCCTCTCTAGCTTTGATGTGGGTCTGTCCCTCTGTCTCTCCGGTTTCCCTATATCTCTATCATATATGAGGTATATGTACTGACTGCATCAATGCATGCATGCCTACATACATGTGCGTGTTCAAGGCCAGAACTTTTTGGCATGCTGGGATCCAAGACTTCTTGCATACCCTCGGGTTTTGCTCACCTCGGCTTCACGTTTCCTGTGGTTGCCTTGCTCTGACAGAGTTTCTTTGTCGGCTGAGAGGGCACCGTGTCAGCTGCGTTAGATCCGAAGGAGGGGTCCTGAAACATCCAAGCCCTAGAGCATCTCAACGCAGCCCCAAAGTCGGGCAGCCACTTAGAGCTCCACAGCAGGCAAGCCCTGCGCTTCCTATTTGCTGTTCAGCCCAGGTTGGTCTACCGACTCTCCTTTTTCCTGCTTGCCCTGAGCTGTGGCTCACACTGGGACGTAGTTCAGGGCGGCTAGCTGTAGTAATTTGGCATGAGCTTGTCGGTGGTTAATGAACCTGTGTAGGGGGTCCCACAGCTGGATCGAGCTTTGCTTTGTTTATCTCAGGGAGAGGGTTGTATTTTGGAAGCCTTTGCCGACTTTAGCGCAGCGGTATCTTATTCTTGCTCTGGTCAGTCTATATAGTTCAGTCATGCCACTGTCAGAAACCGGGACGTCACCTGAGACGGTAGTCAAAGCTGTGATCCTGAATCTTACATGGCCTTCTGCAGAAGAACCTTCAACATTGCAATCCGAATCCTGAGCTCATGTACCGAGAAGTTCGCCAAGGATTTTAAACAAATTCTCAAATGCCATGCCTCTGAGCCAGAGGCGGAAGAGGATTAGGCTGCTTGTCATCAGAAATAAGATCCATCGTGTTTAGCTTCGACTTGGCTCAGGAACTGGCTGGACTTCTCGGTGGTCTTCTTCTCCATCTTTGAGCTCCTAGCCTCCTCAATGCAACTCGACTCTTTTACAGTCCTTCGGGCGGCCCTCACGGGCGTTATGGGTCCGGAAGTCGAGGAGGGTTCGGCACTGCAGCCATTGGATATCCCAGACTGGATTATATTTAGGGTTTAGGGTTTAGGGTTTAGGGTTTTGGGTTGTGTAGTTTCAGGGGTTAGGATCTCGGCCCCCAGCATTTGACCTCGAAGCTCTGGAGCTACGCTGGGCTTCTTGGGCGGGGTTGCCTGGAGCAAATGGCCCAGGACTTTAGACTCCGTTTCCCTAAGGGTCCATGCTCCCATATAGTATATAGTATACTCATTGGCTGTAAGGTAGTCCCTGCAAAGGTACTTTCGGGCTTAAGTATCTACTATTTGGGTACGTGGATCACTAGGACTTAGCTGAGACTATAGCCTGAAGGAGGCACAAACCCTGACATACCCGAGGACCCTGAGCCTAAACCCTCATACGACACTGTAGAGCCACACAGAAACACACAAGGGAAAGCCTATCATCCTTCAACTAAAGTAAAAGCCAGAAAGTTGTTTTATGATTACCCTAAACCCCTTATGGTAAATTATAAGGTATCCTACCCTAAAACCATATTCCAACTTTCTGGAGTTCCCCTTAGATGAAGAAGACACCAAGGCCGGGCTCCTCCACTGCCCCTCGGAGACAACGTGAGTGCAGAAGCCCAGGAGTCGGAAATCGCTTGTGGTGGCACTGGTAGCAGGAGCAGGAAGTCTGATCCCACAAATCCTGGGAGAAGGAAGGCGGCCACAGAAGTAGCGGACAGATTCTTAGAGGAAGCATGATCTATAGTTGAATCAGATTCCGTAGCCGGGATCGTATTCACATGCAGGAAGGCGACGCATTTTTGCAAAGGAGTCGCAGTCATGAAGCGTATTCCTAGCAATCGTAGGAATCGGCATTCTCAGTGTTCTGATGGTATGACGCCTCGAGTGTTCATCCGGCTCAACGTTTATTTGTAGTATTGTAGCCAAGGAAGGGCAGCAGACACGCCAAGGAAGTAATACTGGCTGCATGATTCGCAGCAACTATGGTATCACTCATGAATCACAAGCCCTGAATTCCTACGCTGAACTTTGAGATTGTTCCGGAGCAGCGAATCCGACATTTCGGCACGTCTAACCCACTGTTGTTCTTTGGTCTCACGAATAGGTGCTGGCGCGTGAAGAACACTTGTAAACCGGATTGGCGGTGTTTGGTCGAGATCGAAGACCTCGAACTTTGGGTGAAACCTCCCAGCTTCAACAGTCCGAGAGGAGCCGGAGAAGAGGACTGCGACTACGATTTAGACTTATATAGGGGTAGAGCCGGTAGAGCCTCCTGGCATGCAGCCAACGGCTAGGTTTTGCGACTGGTGCGCCTGGCAAAGCTCGCACGCGGTCTCCGAGTGGTGCGAATGGCCAGGGTCATGGACTCGCTTCACTTGCTGCTACTCGGAGAATCGACGTCGAAAGATCCTGCTAAGACGTCTTTTTGTAACCATGTTCGAGCTAACCCTACCGGCTTCCAATCTTCTTGTTGGCATTGGCTTCAGATTTTTCGTTCCCTTACGCAGGCTTGGGTGTGCGAAGGATGATGGTAGGCTCTTCATTGCTTCATGAAAGGGCCTCTTTCGCAAGAACCCAGTAGCACTTGGGAACTTATGCGAACCAGTCTCAGACTCGTCAAGAGTGCCATGCGGTTGTGTGGAGAAGATTTGTCCGCCACATCAAAATCATAATATGGTTAGGCTGAAGAGTATTGGCGCCAGCTTCTCGATGTTGCTTTGGTCCATGCTGCTCATCGGCGTCATACAATGCACTGCTGGCCGCCCTGTCGCAAAGAGACTACACGGTCTCACCTATACGCTGAATACCTCAATCACTCTCAGCTAAATGTAGGAAGGAAAAGCCTGAACCGTTCGGCGTTAAGATGTTGCCGTGTTGAGGGCTTCTCGCAAAGGTTTTGCAGGCTCACGGGGAAAACTCCTTTAATTTTGCAGGAGCGGGTTGCCTTAGCATAGCCAGGACACTGTTGTGGCCTATATGTCAGTGTGTACAGTGCAGAGTTGCATGTATGCAGTACGTACATGCGTGTGTGCACATACGTAGGCACATGCAGACACATTTATTGCACTTACTGACACAGGTGAGCATAGATGCGTACGCATGCAGTGCAAACGCATGCACTACGTGCACTTGTCATACAGTTTGTGCGACAGAAAGCGTAGATTGCCCTGTTAGGTATGATCATTGGGTATCTGGTAATGGATCATCTGGAGCGAGATGCCTCCCAGTCAGAGGAAGTGCGTCATCTGATCTTCAGGTGGGGCTTCTTGCATGTATTCAAGGGCGCTTGCAAACAAAATGCCCATCAAACTCCTAAGCTTATGCTGCCCCTGACAGGTATTATGGCACATTCAGCTACACCATCCTGACGATGTTTGCATCCTGGTGGCTACAGCTACAGTAAAGTCGTCAAATGCTAAGTCGCACAGCAGTCAGCTTTTCGGACAAATTACTACTACAGCTGAGGAAGTGATTTTTGCCAACTGGCCCATCCCCTGTCGTGTCCTCGTGGATCACGTGGATGAATGGTATTCTATCTTCTTTATCATTTACCGCTGCGGGGTGGGACTCTCGGCGGCACGATACCAGCACAAGCAGGATCCTGGAATGCATCTGCAATCAGATGCAGATGGGCAGGTAGCTAGGTAGCTACAGAGAAAGGTACAGATAGATAGATCAAGGGATAGATAGCGGGTAGATGGATAGATCGGGATACAAATTTATCGGCTCGGGTGCTTCTACAACTGGTGTGAAGACACTGAATACACATGCATGGATGTACTTGCATATGATGCATCTGCATAGCATGTTCTCTACAGAGGTAGGGCCCTTTCGAACATAGTACCGTACATCAAGAACACTCAAAACACAGATCCGAGGACCTTAATGCAGAGAGATGTACGCTCACGCACGGATGCGCACACAGATATACGTATCCATATGCTATAGATGCATAGTATATATATATATATGTATGTATATATAGATATAGATATGTCCACCTGGGTATATACATACGTACAGACATACATAGGCAAATGAAGAAATACTGCACCAGTTTTTATGTAACTAGGCACATACCTGTGCCTAGACATGGGCATGCATGCGCACGTACATCCATCCATCCGTCCATCCACCCACCCACCCATCCATCCATGCTTCCTTCCTTTCTTACCCTCATACATACTCACATACATGTTTACATGCGTGCATGCATGCATGCATAATTACATATGTATGTATATACACATAGGTACATCCGTACATATGCATGTATGCCGCCATGTAGACCTATGCATATGTAGTTCTTATATATACAAATAAATAAATAAATAAATATATATATATGTATATATATATATATACATATATATATATATATATATATATATACATATATATATATATATATATATATATATATACGCAATTGCATAGGCACATATGTATATACGTAGGTGTATACATATATCATATATATATATATATATATATATATATATATACATAGATGCATGTATACATACATACATACATACATACATATATATATATATATATATATATACATATATATATACATATTATATGTGCATAAATCTACAAATAGTTAGAATTGGTATGTGTGCCTGTTTACCTATATGCATATTCTCTCACACACAGACATACGCACATAGACACACACACACATACATGCATGTGTGTGTAACTATACATGTCTACATCGATGGGTATGCAGAAGTTTGTAAGAGCATATACATGTTGCTCCACACGCACAAATATATATATATATACATATATATATATATATATACATATGTGTGTGTATATATATATATATATATATATCACTTGCACTTTGAAAGGCAAAGAACCCATGCCGGATGCAGCCTATGCCCATGCTTGCAATCAGTTTAAACATGCTGATGGGGAGGCGGCCGCCCTGTGTGCACTCATGACTTGCTACGCAATCATGGAGCAGAAATCAGATGTTGCACCCCAGGGCTGTAGCCGGCCGCCGTGCGTCAAAAGCCATCCCTGAAGAACGTCACCCTTCACAAAATCTAACAGATACCTGCAAGCTGATAGTAATAGTGTCCACTCCGTGGTGCCATCTGAGCTTTTCAAGCCCAAACAAGGGACCGGAAGGTACCCGCATCTCAAAACTACTTGCTCAAGCATATTCCTCACGGAGTCAGATGAGGCGAACTACGAGCAAGACTCCGCGCAGTAGAAATTCACACGCCACTGCGCCACTACACTACCCTGAGCCTATTCCTCTAGGGATTGGAGGAGGCCAACTACAGGGTTAATTAATTCCACATAGCCACAACACTGTGCCCGCTCCAGGCCACTCTTCTCCGACGCCTCGTTGGCATCCTTTCCATGTCCGGAATGTGCGCGAACGGGATGTTGATCCCACATTCTTCAAGCCTATCCCGCCCCGCGCAATCTGGCAGCTTCCAGCTCGGTGGCAAAGCAATCCGAAACCTTCCGTCCAGACATTGGTGATGCCACTCCTCGAAGCCTCCAGTCCGGGCGACGAGCAGCGTTCCGAAGCGCATAACCTCCGTTGCAAGCCGACATTGCTCCGTGTAGAAAAACGCAGCTTTGGTATGGGCCGGGCGATCAACACATCCAGCACCGACCGTCTGCAATTCAGTATCTCTCACGTCTTTGAGTGCTTCGCGGAGGAACTCGAAGCCCTCTTGGGCATCCAATCTCCCGCCGAAGCACGTCAATAGGCCCTTGTACTCCATCATGCTGTACTTCTTGCGCGAACGGTTCTTAAACGATCTCTTGGCTGCCTCTGCTGCCGCTGATATGAAAATCCAGCAAGACATCATGGCCTTGGTGACGAAGGTCATGTCACTTAGGTAGAGGCACTGCTTGACATAGTTCAGGATTGACCTTCATAACCTCTTGGATGCATATGTTCATCTCGCAGGCTCATGGCGTGCCCATAGCTATTGGGCACGTGGGTCCCTGGCTATTGGCCCCGGCTGATGGGGAGTTTTCACCCCGGACCCGGGAGCCATACACACACACACACATATATATATATATATACATACATACATATGTACATACATGTGTATATACACACATATGCATACATGTGCTTGTATGTGTGCAAACAAACATGTAGCACATAATGGAGACCTTGCTTTGGTTCCGAGATTTCCAGCCGAGGCTTCTGTGTCCTGAACGCCCCGGCCTGAGAGGACATTGGCCAAGATAGGCTTGCGAAGCAGAAGGACTAGCGATGAAGGATGGCAGCTTCGAGCTAGCTCGTCTTTTGGTGCCGAATGATATCAATACAACAACAGCTACTAAGGTTGTCGGTGCCGTTTTTGTTCAGCAGACTATGTCGCTCGGCCGAAACTGGCGAAAGTGGATCGGTGTTGACGTACAAACATGCGAGCCTGACAGGTCCTGCTGGCACCCGTCGCATTCCCCAGCAGTTTTAGTGTCAATGAACGTTTCAGGAAATTGGCAGCCGATGACAACGATCTCTTCTTGCAGCAGCAGACACGTGCGGCTGAAGCCTACACGAGAAAGATCAAGGATGTGTGACTTAGCTGCCCCGTGTATCTTCCCCCTTTGCAGCGAGCGTACCAAGAATTTCGCAGCACACCGGAAAGCTTCGCCAAACCGAGGTTCACGAAGCTGGATATGTCAGGCATGGCCCGCAGTGCTTTGCCAACATGTTCGTAATCTTGATTTCGTCTGCGCAAACTAGCAGTGCGAAAACAGGTGAAGGCTACATCTACATGGAGGAGTTCGTGGAGATCCTCAACACCCCAACGATGCCATCAGGCTGCGTGTTCAGCTCCTCATGGCCCGGATGGTGAGGTGGAGGCTGTTTCTGCTCCTGTTATAAGGCATCCATACTCATAGTCACTCATACTTTGCTACCGCCTTTTCCGTGTCAAGCGCCTGAGAAAGTCGAATCTCAGGTCGCATTTCATGGCCAAGCTGGAGCTCGAATCTACCGATCTGCTCAGCCTCTTCAAGCTGATCGATGTGGACGACAGCGGGCAGGCTCCCGCCGGCATGTCAGGGGGGTGTCAGCTACTACTGTAATTAGTACATATTGAAGCTGCTTCGGGGTGATTCGGTCGCGAGTGGAGTTTCAACTTGCATGTCGTGCTACTGCAACTGTTTGTGACGGCGATGTTGACGATAATGATGACGATGAGGTCTCTATGCAATAGCAGTAGTGGGATTGTCATTTGTAGTGCAGCTAGTTCCTCATACAGCTTTCGACCCGACATCAGTGTTTCGCGCGTTAGGTCGTTAAGATAATTCCTTTTCTGCAAGTGCCTGGTTCTTCATCGTATTATCCGCACGATGGCTAATGATCGTTCCTGTTCTTTACAGAAAGGCTTATATTGTGATTAATGGGAATCTGCAATTAACTGTTATACTATTATCATTACCCGTATTTTTGATTGCTATTGTTATGCATGAGAGTTAACCTCTCTTGTTTTTGCATGTTTTCGCATCGTCATGCTTGAACTTCTGGGCTACGACTTCACGGGATGGCGAGGTCTCCTTGGAAGACTTCATGGCCGGCTGCCAGCGGCTAAAGGGGCCTGCCAAGAGCCCGGGGCCCCATGATCCTTCGGGATGGTAAGTATGGGGCCTTTTCGAAATGGCACCTCTAGTACGTTTGAGTCTTGGGAAGGCAGACATTGCAGTGCATCTGTCTTCTGACACCCAGCCCCATCGAGTCATGTTTGCGGCTTGGTTGCCTTGAGGTGTAGACTTGGCTTTGCTTCTGGCACACACGGCACGGCTCAACTGCAAAGTGGACAATGTCCTCCAGCTGGTCGGTGGAGAGGCGGAGACGGGCTTTACGTTGGGATCAGATGCTCTAAACTTGGTCTGCTTGGTACTCGCTCCGAGGTCGATCCTGCTGTCCAGCTACCAGTTTCCCGACAGGGGTCGTAACTTTAACGTTCGCAAGAGAGCAGATGACAACCATAATCATGGAAGATGAGCACCATTCGTCTCACTGGTACCCTTTGTTCATGCGAGGGCATGAAACTACCCTACCCGAAATCCTGCAGACCCTAACCCCCCCCCCCCCTCCACACCTCACCGAAACCGAAAGCCCCTCAGCCTCAGCCCTGTTTTTGGTCTTGCAGACTGGCATCGAAGACTGGGGATATGGAGCGGCTGGAGATCAGAAAATTGAGCAGCGCTTTCTTCACTCGGCATCAACCCTGAGGCCTTCATTCATGGGCCCCAAATAGGGACCCTGAGCCCTGAATGAGTTCGAGATCATGTTCAATGGCTCTGGGGATGTGTGAGATGATTGCAGGAGTCCCGGGGCTGTATTTAACAGGTGCTGGCAGGCCGTCTAGTCCACACCGATCTGCAGACTGAAAGTCCCAACCCTAAATCTGATCGATGGTTCTTGCGGTCTATCTATATATATATATATATATATATATATATCTGTATATGTCTATCTTTCTGTCTATCGACCTCCCTACCTATCTACATATCTGCCTATCCTGCTATCTATCTACCTACTTACCTATCTATCTGTCTATCTTATCTACCCCATCCATCTTATCTATGTATCATTCTGTCTATCATCGATCTATCCATTATCGATCTAGCGGTACACATAGTCTGTATACCTGCTCACATAATATGATGGGTACATACATATATCCATACATAAATAAATACATACGTAATTACATACTTACGTATTACATATGTACACATCTGTATGTGTATGTATATATATATATATATATGTTTGCAAGTATATGCATATGTATATGTAGTTGTAGAATAGGTATACGTATGCGCGTACTTTACCTGTCTCTGTATTCACTGTCGAGTGTATAATGCAGCAAATGCAAGATCCAGAGGCCTGGGTCCACTCATGGGCGCGATTCGCAATCGACCACTTCGATGGACTCCGTGGTGCCGGGCATCGTGACGGGACCAAGTGGGGGAGAGCTCCTCCCCCGCGGGAGCAAATCATCCGGTTGAGGGCTTGGAGTGTTTTTAGTGTTTCGGGCTGAGGTAGAAGTTGAGACAGAGGGGCCAAGGGTGGACATCGGAAGCATGCGAGTTGGGCCTTGGTTGTTCTTGTGCCTCGACTTCTGGACTCCCTGGTGGAATTCGGGCCTGTAGCCTGCTCCCGAAACCTCGCTGGCAAGAGCCTTGATGACTAATTGGAACTTTGCTTTCGATGTTGCGAAGATATTAAACCCCGAGCAGACGAGTATTGTAACAGTTCTTGCCGCTGCATGCATGCTCATCCGGTTCATGGCGTCTGCAACGCAAAGCGTTCTCGACCCATGTCAGTAGGATGAGTTCTGAGCAGGGGTGTTTCGGGCTTATGTCCGCGGTCACCACACTGAGTGTGTTTGGTCTTGGAGTTAGACGTCCTGCGGTGACGTGCCTTTTGCCGGAAACTCCCCAAGCTCGCAAGCCGTTCGAGGCTGTCTCGGACGCTGCGTGGGGGCTGCTCTCGATTGGGCTTCCACTTCCAACGACTAGTAACTAGTATCGTAATTCAGTACAAACCTCTATTTGCACAGCTGTTTTCAGGAATCCTAAGACCGGGCGACCCCATTTCTCTATCTCAATTTCGCTTTTCAAGATGCTTGAGGAAAGCATGGCCGCCTCGAATTTGTTTTGCTTCCGCTTCTCTCAGCGCACACATCGCACCCACGCACGACGCCAATTCCTAAACACTGATTCGCCGGTACACTTCCAATCTACAACCCTTAAAATTCCTGACAAGAAGATGTTGGCCCCGCAGGTGCATATACAGAAGCCAGGGATCCCAAAGCATCATGCTTGAAATTCGCAAGAGAGAAGCGTCGTGAAGCCTGGCGCTTGGCCATACTTGGAATTCGTCACGTACGCGCGTTTAGGCGCCCTCGTCCCGCCCTCGTGAGAAGCTTAGCCTCAGTCGTGAGCATGGTATCAACCCTAAACCCCCAAGGCCTACTGAAGCCTGTAAGCCCAACACCCCCCCACAACCCAACCCCACATCCTCGGGCTTCGTTTAAGCGGGAGAGCTCTACGTAAAGGCGTCCTTCAAAAGGCCTCCTCCAGCAAGCCGTTCGCCTCATCTTGGTACGGAGATTAAGGGGTATTTTGGAGGTGACGTTTCGCGCTCGGCAGCGTAGGAGATGTGATGAGGCCGACATAGACCTTTAATCAGAATACGATCAGGACTCGTCTAAGCATCTGCTGGCTAGGGCGGTCTTATAGGGCAGTGTGAATCATGGCCGGTCGTGCCGCTTGTGCAGCGAGAAAAACACGGCATTGAAAGCCTTGCGGTGTCAGGGTGTATAGGGTTTAGGTTAGGAGTTAAGGGGGTTTGGGTTTTTCGGGTAATAGGCTGGTGCTTGTAGGGGCCTGGTAGGGTCCAGGGACCTATGTTCCCAGCTGGCCCCTACCTTGTGGGACTAACGTGAGCCGAGGTCTCTGCAAACAAGTGGCTGCAGTACCTTGTGCAGCTCCTGCCTCAAGACCATGCAGCGCTTCGGGGGAAGCTGGGCAGGGGGCGTTTAAGCTCGTGCAGCTAGGGCTCGCGGAAGGATACGACTTATGAACAGCAAGTTATTGTATATGAGATTGCATACAACAGCAAAGTAATGCGGGATCAAGAACACCACGTTCAGAGTTTGCATATACCAATCGGAGTAAAGCAGCTCATGTTAAGTCTGCATTCTACCCTCGCTTTCCGTGGAGATTGGTCTAAGCTGTCCCCTTGCCCCAGGTGTGGCCAAAGGCCATCCCAATCCGCTGACACGTGCCGCCTGCGTGTTTTAATTTCAGCCAGCGCAGGGTCCAAGAGCTACCAGCAAGCAGTGCTTCGTGGCAGTGAAACGAAGCCATCGTGGCAGGTGGGACGTGGTCCGTGCAGCTACACCGAAGCAGATCTTGCCCAAGACTCAGATGCACACGGTTGGACCCTGTGCGCCACCACCAACACCGCCACAATCCCAACCGCAACCGCAACCACAACCACGACCACAGCGACAACAACCGCTGGCAGTAGACTGCATTTCGACCTATGCACGCTGAAGCAGACCCGTACAGCCCTGGAAGGTCTAGACCCTGAAGCCGTATACCCTAAACCTCAAAACCACTGATTCAGAAAGGCCATCACAAACAAAAACGAGAACGTCATCCGCAAGCCCGTTAACCCAAAGCATTTACATCCACGCCCTAAGTTCACTGTGAGGCCGGCGAGGCTTTACTGCGAGGAGCCGACAGAGCACATGTTCAGCGCCACTGAGGCGCCCCGCAGGGAACAACAAGTCCTAGGATGAAGGGGGCTCCGGGCTCAGGGTTTAGTTGGTCAACTTGTGTGTAAAAGCATGTCATAAGTCATAAGTAATATACCTATGTATGTAAAAACATAAGCACGCTAGGGGGCGACGAAGGGAGCTTAGGTTCGAACTCCGGAATTCAAGGGTTGAATTGCTGCATCTTTGTTTCGCTATAATACTCTTAGTGTGAGGGGAGGGGCTTGGGGAAATGGCCCGTGGAGGCTTTACATTTTGTTCTCTAAGGTCAGCAGGCTAATGTCTCGGCCTGTCCACGGTTCCAGAGCTACACCACGCTTGAGTCTTGATGATTGCAAGGCCTGTGCCATCGGACCCAAAGTCAAGACACCCATCTAGCAACGGCAAGTGCTGCACATACATACATACCTGCGTACATACATGCATACATACATCCATGCACGCAAGCATACATACATACTCATACCGTCGGCATCATGTGTGTAGGTACGCCCACGAACCTATGTTGAGAGCTTCACGCATGAGCCGTGTTTTTTCGCGCTTCTTTCATAATGAGTAGGCCTGGAAATTTGCGCGGAAGCACGCGGAAGCTCCATTTTCAGATACGTCATGCCGCAGATATCCCAAAGGCCCTTCAGGGATGATTGCAGGCTCCAGGTCCTTGTCAGAAGCGAATCATTGTCAGCATCATGTTTTTGCCATCTCCTTTTAGTTGTTCACCACCAGTGTTTGCAAACGTAACCGTATAGTCAAGCGGTGACGACTAATAGTACATATACGTCATCATGTTGGTGATCATCATCTGCAAAATCGTTCAGGATGATAGGGGACGTGCGCGGAAGCTCCGCGGAAGGTGGACCCCTAAAAGCCTAAACGTTGATCCCAACCCGAGCTTAAACCGGATTGGGGGTTGAAAGCCGTTGAAAGCAAGGCCACTGAAAGTCCTTACCCCGAAGGCCTTAAACCCAAGTATTGGAAACCGCCGATTTTCCATACCCCCAGGGCCTCAAACGGGAAGTTGGATTGGAAACCGACAGCAAAACATGCAAAACCCAAATTCCGTACCCGGAATGCCTTACCCCCGATTATCGGTTGCAAAGCCGAACTTGCTGCTCCCAAGGCCCAAGGGTTTACAAGCCGAAGCCGAAAGCCACCTATATAAGCCTTTTCAGATGTGCTTGCTTGTGTCTTCGCGCGCTTTATTTGAGCTTGCATCCTTTCTTGGTGGTTGAAGTTGTGGGCGTGGTTTGCCCAAGCAAACAGCCTTCTCAAGACTTGAGCCCCCAGTTGCGGAAGCAAACCCCGCAAACTCAGCGACAGAAGGGATCCGCGGAAGCGATGTGAAAATTGAGGCCTGCGGAAGCAAAACCCTCGCGCGCGGAAGCATGCAGGAAGGGTCCTGCGGACGGGTTTCTAGCAAAACTCACATGCTGCGGCGGAACAAACATGCAGTGTCTTATGTTTTGCGGTTTCTTATACATCCATACACACCAATCTACATATCCAATCAGTACTCCTGTTCTGCATTCATCCGTTCATTCGTTCGTCACGTCGTTTGTTCGTTGGCTTGATAGGCGTTCGTTCATTCGCACACCGTCGTCAGTTCGTTCGTTCCTTCTTGCGTGCCTACATACCAGACATACGTAGTAGATGCAGCTCTTGACGTATTTCGTACATTGGTATAGAGTAATGCATGATATGCGAAGCTTTCGGTACCTTTGCTCCCCGGAACCTTGCATCCTCTGGAGTGGCACGGAAACCAGGGTGTAGGAGGCTGTCAGAGCGAGACACCACGGGATCCCAGCTTGGAGGTGCACCAGCAGGGCCCCGAGATGTGGCGAGATCGAGCGCCGATACAGCTGCCGGCCCTGCTCAGCGGTGAGCGGGAGGAGGCGAGACTTGAGAAGTCGCCATACAGGGCTGTAGTAATAGTAGCTACCAGCCGTGGTTCAGAGTGCTGAGAC